ATATATATATATATATATATATATATATTGGAAAACATTATTTTATGAAGGCGCTAACGATTTTCTTTACATTTCAATTTATCATGCTCTAATATCATGTATATTTATATTATTTTTTTGCAAGAGCGTTTCTCCATTTATTTGCTGTAGCGATTTATATCCTACTTATTATATTATACAATAAAATTTTATGCGAGACAAGACAAATTTATCGAATTTATTTTCATGGTAACATCTTTGTAAAAAAAAACCCAGACAAATAATCTCATGTTTTAACTGTGATTTATTTATTTTTCTGCAATAATAGATATAAAATTTCTTTATTTTTATATTGAAAGGATGCATTATTCGAAGCAACGATTTATTTTTGCTATTTTTCAGTGGGGAGGCGAGTATTTATGAAAACGTCAATGGTCTTCCTGCATTATTTTTCAATATTTCGATTTTCACGCTTTTAAATTCCACCTTTCTTGAAATATTCGCTTTTTTGTTTGTTTGATAATCTGTTTATCGCGATATTTCTCGCGGGACAATAACACAGGTTCGATGTGACAGGTGTGTGAAAGTGCTATTTGAAATTATCAGAATATTTATACGTCTCTTATTTTGTTGTTTACTCCCCCTCCCCCTCTTCCCCCTTATGAAAAACAGCGTTACAATGTGCATACGTGGGGATTATATAGCGCCGCTCGCTTTTGAGACCATGATTTATTTCTGCCATATGGCACCTTTGTTTGTAATTGAATGTCCCGATGATGAACGTCAAGCCGTATCTGAACGATATTAATCCATTTCGCGCGTTCTCCTCCGCGAGAATCGCTGGCGCGAACGTCAATCTTAATTGACTTTGATCTCGTTAAAGATGGATTTGTTACGTAAATGCCACCTGCAGGAGCGAAAGAGCGTGTGTATATTTAGCGCTGAATCCGTTCGCGTGGCGAGAAGCCACTTCGATCCGTATGATGTTACATGGTTTCGTCTTGAGCTTAAGCTGTCTTTGGAGGTTCGAAGGTTTCGAACGTCGTATCTCGAAATTGTAGGAGACACCGCCGTCGGGTCAATCCCGCGAGTCTGTTTGCCGGGTATAGGAAGCGATAAGCGTCACGATTACGAGGACTCATATCTCATCTGTCCGCAAGAATTGCTTTGAGAGAATTTTACTTTATACACATTTGTCCAATAAATATATTTCTTTGCAATTTTTCTATTTTCCCGGAATACAACGACGATATATTTTCGATATAACTAACGTTTGAAATGTTATTTTCGAACGGTTATTTTATTTTTCTTGTTTTAATCAACGATGCATATTCTTTCGCTATCGATAATCTGTTGTCATTTTGCTGGCAAAATGCCTTTTTATTCCATCCATACGGATTAAAATATACTCGCATAGTAAGTACGCATGAACTTACAAACCTGACCTGACATTTCATACAGAGTACGCTTGAGAGCGATATTGCTTCTCGGTGGAGAAATCAAGATATTTATTTTTTATGTTTGTACCTACGTTATTTTCCTCTTTCATGCACGAGCGAATCGACATATTATATAGAGAGCTTGTACCAGTCGATATCGGTTTATATATATATTTGAGTTAGAGTTAATATGTGTATTTTTTTTATATGTGTTTTTTTTTATACACATAAATCCGGTGAGATAGTCACGCTCGAAGATTTTAGCTTCTAGTTGTATATTATTTTGAAATCCTTGTCAATCTTTTATTTTAATACAAAATATCGCACATTTGAACGTTACAATTACAAGGATGTACTACGTTTCGTTTCGTCGATTTCATCGATCGTTAAAAATATGTCGGCGGATCTCCGACAGATCTGCCTTCGAAGGGAAATTATGAGAAGTAATTTCTGAGAGGATAAAATATAGTTTTATTGTAATCGCCGCACGCATGCTTAATGCTTCCGGTTGTCTTGTCCCGACGAGAATCCTTTTCCTTTATTCATATTATTACCAGATTATCGGCCTTCTGCGTAACGATCCGAGGCGAGCCGATTATTGGCACGCGAGGAAGGCCGATAATTACCTCTTGCCGCATTTAAACTACAAAATTCGCTCTCATCCCGATACTTGATAATTATGATTCGTTTTACAATTACAGATCCTGGACGATACGCTTGATCCGCGATGCGAGTCTGTTCAGCAAGGACGTATCCTTCGAGAGTACGAATGGACCGATATCCTTCGACACGTCGCATTCTTACGTTGGTACTGTTTTAGGTAAGTCTACATTCATATTCCATCATCTTCACTATCGATTGAAGGATGTAAGCATAAATAATTCTTAACATTTTGGTATTACCCTATTATTAATTGGTATGATTAAATTGACATACGTGTGCTATATTAATTAATAAGAATTAAAATGAATTTCTTGGCGTATTTTATCTCGTTACACATGAATCAATTTATCTCTTATCGATTGAAGGAAGTATAAGCATAAATAATTCTTAACATTTTGGTATTACCCTATTATTAATTATTATGATTAAATTGACATACGTGTGCTGTACTAATTAATAAGATTAAAATGAATTTTTTGGCATATTTTATCTCGTTACACATGAATTGATTTATCTCTTACTGCATAGGTATTATCATCTTAACGTCGCGATAATTTTTATTAAACTTATTTAACAATGTGATCGATATAGCTCACATTATGCCGTAATTATTAATTTAATTTTCAAATGTACAGATAATATGACTTTGCTGAAGTATTTAAAAATTTTATATAGGTCTGAAACTAATTGCGTAAGAATAATGCTGAAGTTCATTGGTAGTATACCGAATTTTTTGAAGTATTATGCAATATTTTGTTGAACTATTAAAATCATGCAGCTTTTTGAAGTATTATTATCATGCTTTGTATGATCTGAAAATAATTTGAACTATTAAAATAATCCTGCAATTTTTTGCAAAGCGTGATAATAATACTTTAAAAAACTGTATGATTATTTTAATAGTTCAACCAAATTATTTTCAGATCTGTCTTTGACAAATTTTTAGATACTTCAGCAAAATCATTCTTTTCACGTAATAATGGAAATAATATAACAAAAAACGTAGAGAGAAAACTATAATATAAATATGTGTTCCTTTTCACTGGTAATAGAATATTTTACAAGTTTAATATTTAATGATTATAATACGCAGAACAGAATATTGAAAAATTTTTCTCTTCGATATTTGTTCGCGTGGCAGAGAAGACTTGATATTCGCATTGATTTAACGATAAGATGCAAAAGATGTGTGCATCAAAGGGATTAATTACGCCGGCAGATAATGCCTCGACCGAGCCGGGGATCTTGATTCGAGATTACCGGGATAATCTCAACAATCCGATAATCTCGAAGTTCTCCCTCCCTTCCTTCCTTCTCCCCTCCCCCCCCCTCTCTCTCTCTCTCTCTCTCTCTCTCTCTCTCTCTCTCTCAGAATTTGTGATGAGCGAATGAGTCGAGTCGAGAAGCAGCTTTTTAACTTTTATAATTGTCACAATAATTTACATTTAATTTAATGTGTCTTTTGAGTATCTACAACGTGTATAACTATTTTTAATAAATTGAGCCACACGTTATGAACTCTTGAACTTAATTGAAGGATAAAGTATAATTTCGTATAATTTTTATCGGCTTCCCTCTATCGGCTCTTCTGAGACTACGGAGTATATACAACGAAAATATTATCTGAAAACACGGAAGTTACGCTCGAAATTGGTTTTATTATCGTATACATAGGGGTGTCCCTATCTTCCGGGATGTCCCTATCTTAATAGGCCAATATTCCCAAAACTGTAGGTGTGACAAGAGAATTATGTGCTACGCACGGGGTTATTTTAACTCCCAAAGTGCACTAGAGGATTAACGCTTTGTTTAACGTCATTGCATAACCGCAGATGGTTTTCCGGCTGAATATGATTTCAGTAATTCATTCAGCACGCCCTCGTTAGTTCGCGTCGCTAATGTGCTCATAAATAATCGAGTTTGTTCCGTGTTACGCGAGTCAGCCCCCGTACGAGAGGGTCTGGTGAAATAATCCTTCTTGATTGGTCCTTACAAAAACGTCACTGTGATTTATTAGCATCATGCCTAATTATCCGTATAATTAACCGGGCGTACTCTCCTCGGATGTGGGACGTCGCGGGAAGTTGCGATTAGAAATCCTAACGCTATACTTGACGAGTGTAACATAGACTTGAGGGGCGTTTCATGCGTTTGTAATTTTCAACATGAAGTATCCTGATTAAACGTCGGAAAAAAAAGTTGGTCAAAGTTACGTTGACATTAAATTAATCAAAGTAAAAGCTTTTTTGCCATATACATTATTAAAACTCGTGTCCCTTATTTTATTAAATTCCTTCAAGTTTCGATCGCTTTTGTTATTTTTTTTATTAAACTTTTTTGCTACAAGCAAAAGATATTCCCGAGCTATTACAGGTTTTTTATCTCCTCTCTCCGCAGAAAGAACGGTTTTGCTGAAATACCTAAAAATTTGGCCAGATCTGAAAATAATCCTGCTGGACAATTAAAATTAAGCGAAATGCTTAAATATGATATCTTGATAGTCTGATAAAATTATATTTAGATCTATATCTGGCAAAATTTTTATATACTTCAACAAACTATTCTTTCTCTTTATCTATCATTAAGATTTTTAAAAATCTTTTATATAAGGAGAAATATCATCTCTGTTACGTCTAACAATAGAAGTACAAATAGAAGTACAACTTGCTAATTCTGTCTTCACCTAGATAATATTATCGCCATTTTTAGTAGCAGAAGAGATTAAAGCTTAGTAAATGATAATAAACCAATAATAGTAATAATAATAATAATAATAATAGAAGGATGAGTAATAATAACGGATAAGCTTTCTTGCGAGTCTGAAAAAGGGTCAGTTAGATCGATCGGCGACGCCCTGCACGCTCAAACCGGTATCAAATATTCCCCTCGTAACTTTTCGCGACTCTCGTCGCGACCCCG